TCCCCTCCCCCTGCTCTAGTGTGCAGGGGTACACGGGAAATCAGCCCTCGAGGGGGATGACCGTGCAATGCCTTCCCCTCCACTCTCCTCTGGGGACTCTGGATGTGCACGCACATGTGCCCCCTGGTTCTCCAGCTGCTGAGTCCAGGACTCGAATGGCACAGTCACATGGGTTCCAGCTGCCTTGACCACCACGCCACTGGTTGGCTCCAAAAGTATTTTTTAAAAGCTTTTCTTTTAATTAATAAAAATGTTTTTTGAAAAAATATCAATTCAGTATGTTAACAGTAGTTATTTTTCCTTTCTCTTTTTAAAAGATTATTTTATTGAACGTTCTTTTCTTTATTTTAATTGGACCAGAGAGAAACAGAGAGAGAGAGAGAGAGAGAGGATATGAGAAAGCAAGCTTCCAGGTCTGGGACTAGAACCGCTGTTGGTCATGAGGGAGTCCAGAGCTCTTAACCATCACGCCATTTGCCGGCCCCAACAGTAGTTATTTTTCACTGATTTTTAAAACCTCGCACTAGGGGCCAGTTGGCGGAATGTTTAAGGAGGCTGGATCCCACATGGCCAACTGGGTGGGATTCAAGTCCCAGATCTGGCAGCCTGAGGAACCCTCTGGGTGTGGGCCTGCCAATAACCCTGAGAGGAAGAGCTGGGCCTGACCTTCCCCATAGGGGATACTCTCCTACTTGTCTCTCTCTGCCAAGCACATATGCCCTTTGACTGAAAGAGAGAGACACAGAGCAAGAGAGGAAAGAGGGGAGGAAGGAGAAAAGAAAAGCTCTTTATTCCTTTTTTTCTCTCTTTTTTTCTCTTTTGGAGAGGTTTATAGGGCATGTGTGCTCACCAGAAAGACAGAGAGACAGAAAGTGAGAAATCACCCCCCAGGGGGATGGCCACACTGCAATCCTATCTCCTCCATTCTCCTCTCTGGATTTTGGGAAAATATGCACACATGCCCAGCATGATTTTCTAGTCATCATTCTGAGACTTGAAGTGCACAGTCAGAAATGTGGTATCCAGCCACCTTAATCTCCATGCCACCTGCTGGCCCTAGTTGCTCTATGTTACTGGAAAATTTTGATAAACATTATAAGTACTTAAAATTTGTATGTAATTTATAACTTTCAGCTTTTTCTTTAGGTTTTATTGTATGAAAATTATTCTAGTAATTGAATGTACATCTGCTCTTTATTTTTTAATGAAAGCTAGGTTAGTCACGAATCTGGTTTTGTTTTCCTTTTTGACCGAAGGGTGTGTGTGCTAGCCAGAGAGAGACATGACTCGGGGGGTGGACCGTGCATGATCTTCTTGGGTGCACCTGTCTCTATCTCCCATGAAAGAAATACTTATAAAAAAATATCGGTAGGGCCAGGCAGTGACGTGGTGGTTAAGGATCTTGATTTCCACACGGCTGACCGCCATTTGAGTTCCAGACCCGGAAGCTTGAAAATCACACCAGGTGCATGTGGGTGCCCAAGATCTCAAGAGGAGAAAGGAGAAGGGACTGGTGCCTCAGTTTCCCTTGCTGACAAGGAACCTGAAGATGGAATTGGAGGTCTCCTGCAGAAAAAGGGCCACTGTCTCTAGTGGCTGGGGTTCTGGTCTTGAGAGCCTGAAGTGGGGTGGGGGTAGTGGTGCCACTGCCTCAGTTTCCCTTTCTGGGTGGGAGCTTAGAGATAGAACTGGAGGTTTCCTGCAGAACGAGGGCCACCAAGGTGTCATTTTATCCTCATGATTAGAGATGGCTTGTGTCATCCAAGTGAATAACTACTTCAGAAAGTTCTTAGGACTCACTGGTTCTGAGGGTTAAGGAGCCTGATCTCATATAACTGGCAGCACCAAATCCTGTCCCTGCTGGTTTGGGAAACAGGTCATGTGTCCCTATGTTCCCCAAACTCCCATAGAATGCAGAAATGTTGAAGAGTTTACAACATGACCGTGCTTTATTGGGGGTGAGTTCTCTGATTCTCTCTCATCCCTATGAGATTTAAAAAAATAAATTAAACTAAAAAATTTTAAAATATGTCAAAAAAGACTGCTTTCTTATAGCATTGTTTCCTTTTTTGGGGAGAGATATTTGCTATAGGGCACTTCTGCACATTTTCTCGCCAGAGTGACAGAGCGAGACAGAGAGACAGAAAGTGAGAAATCGCCCCCCAGGAGGGATGACTGCACTGCAGTCCCTTCTCCTCTGTTTCCTTTTCCATCTACTGGCCCCACCCATAGCAGTCTTTCTTAAAGGTGCAGAACACGCCACCAACTGCCACTGACATGAAGAGAATGCACCAGGGCTCCCAGCCAATCACTGAGCTTCTAGCGCACAGAGCCCCACCCCCCTTTATGAGCAGTTGCCCAGCAGTGCCCTTAGAGGCAGGCAGGCTCTGTGGGTGACAGTTGGCTTCAGTTGAGAGGCTGATAACCACAGGTCTTCCATGCTGGTTTCTGGTGACAATACCGGATTTATCTACAGTGATCAGGTCAGATCTTTAACTTTTAAGGTGCCACCATTGTGATGATGTTAAGAAAAGTTTTATAATGTAATAAACAAGCTTTTTTCTACTTCATAAGAAGTATGATCTTTTCTCATCTCTCTTGTTTCTGAAACCAGCCTTTACTGTCTATATTTCCATCAGTATTCTGGTTACAGTCCTTTAACTAATCTTTAACAAGTTTCCTTTCACTTCTAAACTACTCTTCTTCCAAGCCTTCACCATAATCTAGGCTTTTATTAAGCTGATTATCTAGATTCTTAAGAACCTCTGCCAGTTGGGAACCAGCAGTTAGCGTAATGGTTATGACACTGGACTCCCACGTAGTCGACTGTGGTTCGTGTCCCGGACCCGGTGGCTTAAAACTCACGCTGGGCGCGTGTGCGTGTGTGCCCAAGATCCCGAGAGGAGAATGGAGGAGAAGGGATTGCAGCGTGACCATCCCCCCTGGGGGGTGATTTCTCACTTTCTGTCTCTATGTCTCTCTCTGTCTGTCTGGCGAGCGCACGCACCCTACAGTGAAAATCTCTCAAAAAAAAAAAAAAAAAAAAGAAAAGAACCTCCGCCAGTTACTCTGTTCTAAAACCACATCTATATTTCTAGATATCTGTAAACAACACAGTCCTTTTTGCCAGTTTACCATAGTTTGTTACTGCACTGCTGAATAGAAATACTCGAAACTGGGTAGTTTGTATAGAATAAGTGGATTATTTCGCTTATGATTCTGGTGATGGCAGCGGCAGGACCGGGCCTGGGTGGCGGCGGCGGTGGCGG